TGGGCGAAAAGATTTTCTGAGGCTTCCAGCTCTGAGATTCGTAGCATAGGGTTCAGCAGTAGAGAAAATAAGTTTACAATGCATAATGATCTGTCTTTATTTCATCAACAGAAATGGTGTCTAGACAAAATTCATTTAACACTAGCAATTCAATTGAGTGGATTTTTTTTTTTTTTTTTTGCACAATAGTGTATTTACAATGAATAAGTGAAGTTTCAATTCATTAGTTCATAGCAATGCTTTTTTTCTCCAAAAAGGTAAAAATTCTTAGTTACAGAGAATAAGCATCAACAGCCATTTCATTTTTACAATAAAAACCACGAGAAAATCCACAATCACTTAGAGAAAAAAAAAAGAAAAAAAATGATAAGCCTAAGAACTAGTACAATAAAATGATGCATTGAATTAAGTCACATTAATCGCATAGAATCTGTGTAAAAAGTATGTAGAAAAACACCTGATGTAACCTGTTACAGTCGTTGACCAGTTATGAGAGGTACAGAGGGTTATACAGGTAGATATGTGTGAAACTGTCCGTATTGTTCAACCTGGGGAGGAAGAGAAGAGGGGCTGCAGCCCCTTGCATACACTGAGAAGACCCTGTTTTGAATATGGCCTCTGGAGTTTGTAAGGCATATATTAGAGGTGCACTTGCATCCGACTGGTTCTGGAACAAATTCTCATTGGCTCTCCTGGCCTTAAAAGCAAAGGCGGTGCTTACCTTGAATGGCTCACTGTGTCTACAAGCACCCAAAACTCCCGAATGCATTTGTAATCTTCCTGACCACATGCTAGAAGTGGCAGGGCTTTTAAGTCAGAGGGCAAAAGGGCTCTCTCCTTCAAAATGCATTCTGGTAGGACTCAAGTGGAGGTCACCCACCAGCCTCCAGACATGTTTTGGTAGACTTAGCATCAATCTGTGGGAAAAACCCCCTTTGTCCCTTCACTTTTTCCTGATATACATGTCCCATTGTCCTCAAGGGAGCATTTGGCACTGAATGTGAGTCTACCTGAAATGAATGGTCTTGGTGCACTTCTGCTTCTAAGAAGGGCCACTGTTTCATCTGAGGTCAATAAACTGGAATGAAAATGAAAGTCAGAGTTGTTTCTCCACTGCTTGATAGCAAAATGCACACACCATGTCACAACATTAAATCAAAGCTACAAAAGTTGGCCTCTGCAACCAAGTGGATATTCTTCACAAAATGGCAGCATCATTTTCATACTACAATTAAAATGCACTGATACTCATTTGATATAAATATTAATCTACCAGGGTGGAGTGTAGGAAAATACTATACACTTATTATTCTTTGCAAGTAATGTTTTTGCACCGTCAGTTGAATAATTTATTTTCAATCTGCCACAATAGTCTTTTCTATATACAAATAATATTTGCACGCACCATATGTGTACAAATATATTCCATTCTACAGCATCAATCTTTGATGCCTGGGTCAGGAGATGGCTTGGGCAGTATTATAAACATATATCTTGCACAAAGAGTGCCTTTTTATATGAATACCAACTGCACACAGGGCATTGCATTGTGGACTGACTTGCCAGAAATTGAACCTACAAAAAACTCCTCAATTTTGGGAAGAAACACTAACTCACGATACAATGAACAGCTTTATTCTCAAAAACAAAACAAATCTCATCCCTTAGTCTATTTACAATGATTTGAGAACAAAACTTGATTCTTGCTTGCAGATCTAAGAAGATTCTCCTAAGCTGTAGCAATAGTGGAGCAGTTTAAAGTTATTTATTAAACAGTTCCTAGTTTAAATGGGATGTAGTCTATAGAAGCAGGTAGCCGAATAAGGATTTGAAAACGTTCTGCAGGCTTTTCCTCATGGTGAGAGGATTATGTCACTCTGTAGGATGTGGAGTAGCTGCTAGGGGCCAGGGCTTGGCAGTTTCTTAAAAGGCTTAACATTTCAAGACTTTTTTTTCCCCCCCTTCCTTTTCAGTGGCAATCATAATATTCAAAGAGAACATGTAGGTTTAGGCCTCTTGACAGCCACACTGAACTTCACATTATATGAGCTTACCTGTGGCCACTTTCATGCAAGTCCTTTAGCTAGACCCCACTCCCCTTTTCAAGAAGAAGTGGCACTTGGCATACATATCACTGCCCTTTTTTTTTTTTTTTTCTTTTTTCTTTACAATACAAGGATTAAATCCAAAATTATAGTGCATCTTAAAAGCAGCATACCTTTAGAAAGACAGTTAATAAATTACTTGTACATTATACAAAATACCGTTTATACTGCAGCATCACCTCTGACGCCTGAGTCATTGTTTGTTAGGGAACCCGGAGGAGAAGTAGCAGGATGGCCTAGTCACTAATCAGCCTTATTTATTTATTTTGCCTTTTTGCAACTATTTTGTTCCAGAATCAGTATGTAATGAAGTTCAATTTTATTCAAGGCACCCCAGATAACGCAGAGAAACAAACACATACAGCAAAGCACTCACCTGCCCGAAGCCTGACAAACTTGAATGAAGTGAGGTTGTCTAGAAACACAAGTAGAACAAAGGCAGATCCAAGGGGAGGACTAAATTCAGGTGAGATGTTAACTAGTCACAGAGCCACCTCCACTGTCCCTACTGTCACTGGGATCCCCCTAAGAAGTCCATGGTTAGAGGGTCCTCTATTTTGTATGGAAGGACCCTTAAAAACACAACTAAATGTCACCATCCAATACAAACAGTATTCTTTGCTGTTAACTTGCTTTTCTTTTTTATAAAAGACAGGATTGACTAAGAGATCCAAGGAAAGGAGATAGGCTGGGTTTTTAAATCCTACTTGAGGCAATTTCAATCCTGGTCCCCAGCTAGTCATCCCTTTGAATCAGCCCAGAGCTAATTTTGACAAGCACATGGTTCCAAGTAGTAAAAAACAATAGACATATCACATAAGCAATTGCACAAAGTCAGTCACTGTTCATGGTGGATAATGAATGAAATAATAAGTTTGTAAAACTCCCTAAGAACTTGAAAGACAGTTTTTAGAGCAGTGTTTTTAACCAGTTCCCACTACAGGGGTTTGGCTGGGACAAGGAAGAAAGCGAAGCAAGGGGTAGTGGGAGGAGGATGTGGGTGGAGAGAAATAAAGAGGTCCCTCTCCACTCAGAAACGGCAGCGGCACAAGGTCTGTGCATTTTGAACAACAGAAACTAGAGGAAATGGACGGAATGTGGTCAAGACTACCAGTTGCACATGAGTTGTTACCAGGGTAAATCACGCCAAGAAGCTGGTTTGGACCTGGTTAGCATATGAGCAGAACACATTCCTTTTTAAAAAAGGAGGAGCGCTCACTTTAAAAAGGCAACAAGATAGTTAAAAAAACAAAATACTGTTGGCTGACTCCTCCACCATAACACGTGCCTATGATGTATCAAGTGATTCACATTGAGTTTTAAATTCTAGCCATCGCCAGTTTTCTACAAAAGCAAACCTTATGGTGAAGCACAGAACTGTTCTATTAGGTCAAGAATTCCAACAACCATAATAAAAATGTTATCTCTAACACAGGGCTTTATCAGAATCTGTCTCAGACAAGCACACACACACACACACACATGCACACACACAGGAAAAACAAAAACAAAACAAAAACCCAGAGGCAGGTTTTAAAAGTGGAACCATTTTCAAAGAAAAGCCTTCTTTAAAAAAATTCTACTGCATGAACCAAGAAATTTCTGGCAATCATACCTATTTAAACATTTAACGCTAATAGTGTGTACAGAAAAATGTTAATAATACTAAAAACATGTTACTATGATTTCACTTTTTGCCTACATAATATACTAATTTCCCCTTTTACATGCAGCTTTAATATTGTCCAAACAATGGCACAAATAAAGAAACGAAGTCAACCATCTAATCCCCGCTACCCACCACCCCATCCCCAAATCAAATCGCTCAAGACTCTCCTGCACAGCCGGCCTGGAGTCGCCCGTGTGCTGCTCAGAGAGACGGACCACTGGAGTGAGGGAGCTGATCCCTCCTCTTTCATTGCTGCAGAATCCCGGGCACACCTTCCTGTAAACATGCCCCAGGGCTAAGGGAAGCTGCTTTCCGTAGGTTGTAAGTAAGCCATCCAGTATTGCAGCAAGAGAAGAAAATTACCAACAGGTGTGTGTTTGTGGGGGAAGGGGTAGGAGGGCTCCTGGACATTTTGCCCAAAGACTCAGAATGAAATCTGCCTTCAGACAAGAGACCGGGGAGAAACTGCAGAATTCAACTCAAAGCAGTTGGAGAAGGAAAGGAGAAAGAAATGCTTCAGCGTGTGTCAGGGACAGCCCTCAGGCTCACATTTGCCCTACTCACTCTCTCTTACTCTGGAAGAGCTGCACCAACCTGTGACCAGGAGGACCTGAGGATCCGTGATTCAAAGCCCCAAGGTGAGATGTCCTTGCCTTGATCCTGGGCAAGGAAGCGGGGTTACTTAAGTCCTTCAAAGAAGGCCCTACTGTACAACACTTCCAAGAGCAAGGAGGGGCCTGAGGAAGTGTTGAAATGAATGGGACTTACTCCCTGGGTAAGAAAAGAGAACTTGGTTTCTAGGAGCCAATGCCTGCTGAGTTCTGGTATAAAATCATGGATTCCTGCTCTGTTGATGCACTTTTGAGTGAGATGTCCAAATTCTCTCCCCACTTAGGAATGTGAACATCTAGCATCAATGCCGAACTTGTCTGCATTTAACTTTCTTAGGGAAAGGTGGGGAGGAGGTGAGATATAAAAATATTCAAGCAGATTATTGTCTACACATCCTAGGATGAATTCATTATTTGGCAAGATTGTTTTTCCTACATAATTATCACCTGAGTGCTTTTTAATTAGCTAAAAACATTTTACTTTTTAACTAAAAGCAAAGAGTATACAGTATACTTGAGTTATACTGAAGTCACAACTTCATTTAAGAAAATAGGTTTGACCCAAAACTCAGTGCAAGTGGCAAAGTTGACCATTACTGTACAGTATCTGCAAGAAAACGAACAAACAACAACAAAAACAACCCACAATGCTCAAATGACACCATTTGGTGGTGCCAAAACCAAACTAAACAAAAAAGGTCTGAAATAGAACTCCACCCCCCCAAAAAAAATGTTTCCAACATTGAAATCTGTCCATAAATAAGTACAAATTGAAATTGAACTGTGAAGGAAGGAAAATGACCATGTTAACAGTTACCAAACTAGTTCTAGCATCAAGGACAAAAGAAGAGGAATGTTGGAACCTGTTTATAAATGAGAAATGAAGTTTCCAGTTTTAGGATGAGAAAATTGAGGCATGCAGGACTTTTGCATATGGAGATAGATATATTTTATATATATATATATATATATATTATATATAATATGTACAGTTTAGCTATAAAACTTTGATGTGTATAGAAGCTGTCTTCAATGAAAAAAATTGAACATTCAGAAGAAATTCCTGAGATAGGGTTTGTGACATGGGCCACTGAGAAAAAAAATCCGTGGTTGGGTCCTAGAGGTGTTATAGTCTATCCCTGTTAAGATTGAAATTAACCCACAGACAGACAGTGTGGCCACCGCTGTCTTTCCTTGCCTGAGCAAGGGGTAGCACCATTATGAAGGTAACTATAAATCACTCCTGCTTGAAGAGAGGAGGGAATACTTAGAAACAGTATTGCTGCTAAGACCGCTGTAGTGTGCACCAAATGGTTCTTCGTTCTTCGGGACAATAGATGAACAGTGCCCAGGCTGATGGAAGAACACCTGGGTGGGAAAGACTTGAGAACTGAGGAGGCAGGTCTGAATCACTGGGTGTAATCTTTCCTGGGCTGTTCATCAGTTGTACATTTATCAGTCATTTCCTGGCAGAAGTCCACAGTCACTGTTTGGCTCCTGGGTTCAAGAGGAGGTCCTCTCTCTGAGAAGGTTCCTGGGTCAGGGCCTTCCAGCCTCCTCCCAGAGGTACAATCATCTGAGGCATTGCTGGGTACCCAGGGGACACCAGGGGGCGCTGTGCCCTGCTCTAAGCAGCAGGCCACGTTTTCCCTCATCGCACATTGGGAGGCTGCAAGATTCTGCTCAACACCTAAGGATGCAGGGTTAATACTGGAGGCAGTGGGGAGATCCATGGGTCTAAGGACGGGACAATACCGGTGCAGGGCCTGGATTTGCTCAGGGCTCTGGATATCTCGGCAGACTTCCTGGGAAAGGCAGGAGAAGTTGTCCAATAGTTCCCCCATGCATGCTTTCAGTTGATTCCTCTCTGACAGCAGTTTCTCTTTCTCACACACCTGGACAACAGAGACAAAAGAGAAGTCTTGAACAGCGCTGAACTGGAGGACCCAAGACCTCGTTTCTGGGGGTTTTCTACCATTTGTTTTTGCATCTTATATTATAATGTAACTCATGAATGACTAGGTCAAGATCTGGAAATAAAAATATCTCCATGAAGACCTGGATACATCTTTCTGCCAAGTTTCCCACCTGAGCAGCCCATCTGGATATGCTGCTGACCTCGACACCTTTCCCATGGCATCTCTTCATCACTCACCCTAAAGCCTGGACAAGTTGACAGCAAATTCACCACTAGACTAGAAAACTTCAGAGAGTTAATGTTCCTGGAATTTGGGGTTTGTAGAGAATCAACTGGAAACTTCTCAGTCCCAAATCTTGTGGTTGAAAATCTAACAGGTTGCTATTTTTAAAGGCCAAAAATAATTGACCATCAAAACAGAATAGAAGGGAAATTCCAAAACATAATTAAGGGCATATACACAAAACCAACAGTCAATATTATTCTCAATGGAAAGAGACTGAAAGCATTCCCCTTGAGAATGGGAACCAGAGAATGATGCCCTTTATCACCACTCTCATTCAGTACTGTACTGGTAGTCCTAGCCAGAGCAATAAGACAAGAAAGGGAAATAAAAGGCATCCAAATTGGTAAGGAAGAAGCAAACCTATCCCTATTTGTAGATGATATGCTCCTACACACAGAAACTCCAAGAGATTCTACAAGAAAGTTACCAGAACTAATAGATGGATTCAGCAAGGTGGCAGGGTATGAGATCAACATATAAAAATCAGTTGGATTTCTCTACACTAACAAAGAAAGACAATACCATTTATATTAGCCACCAAAAAGATGAAATACTTAGGAATAAACCTAGCCAGGGATGTAAAAGACTTATACAAAGAAACCCACAAAACACTATTGCAAGAAACCAAAGGAGAGCTACATAAATGGAAGAACATACCATGCTCATGGATAGGAAGCCTTAACATTGTGAAAATGTCAATACAACTCAAAGCAATCTATAGATATAATAGAATCCCAATCCAGATTCCATCAACATTCTTTAAAGAGATGGAAAAACTAATTTCCAATTTTATATGGAAAGTAAAGAGACCCCAGATAAGCAAAGTACTACTGAAAAAGAACAAAAAAGTAAGTTCTGATCTCAGAACCTATGATATGGCCAGGATAGTCAAAACAGCTTGGTACTGGTACAATTATAGACACATAGACCAATGGAATAGAGATGAGAACCAAAAAGTAAATCCATCCACCTATGGACAGCTGATCTTTGATTAATTTAATTTAATGGCCAAAACCCATTAAATGGAGAAGAGATAGTCTCTTTAACAGGTGCTGGCAAAACTGGTTATCTCTTTGCAGAAAAATGAAACAAGATCCATACCTCACACAATATACAAAAACTAAGTCAAGATAGAGCAAAGACCTAAATGTGAAACCTAAAACTATAAAGATCATGGCAGAAAAAAATAGGGGTAAACTTGGGGGCCCCAATTTATAGCATATATATGCTACAGCAGAAAATAAACTACATGACCGGGACCTCCTAAAAATTAAATACTTTGGTGCATCAAAATTTGGTAATGACATATCTGACATACCAGACTGATCTCTAAAATTCACAGAAAACTTCAACATCCCAGCAGCAAAAAGACAAATAATCCAATCAAAAATGGGCAAAGGACATGAACACACTTCACAAAATAAGACATTTTTCAGGCAGCCAGTAAATACATGAAGAGATCATTAGCTATTAGAGAGATTCAGATCAAAACAAAAACAGCAACAAATATCATCTCAGTCTGTCATTAACAGCAATGATTAAAAAGAAAAAAGAAAACAACAAATACTGGTGAGGGTGTGGGAAGATTGGAACTCTCATACAATACACTGTTGGTGGGATTGTGAAATGGTATACCCACTATGGAAAATGGTGTACCTTAAAAAGGTAGAAATAGAGATACTGTATGATCCACCAATCCCCCTACTAGGTATATATCCTAGAGAAATAAGAGCTGTGACATGAATAGACATACACACACCCATATTTATTGCAGCATTATTCACAATAGCAAAAAGCCATCTTACAACAACCTAAGCACCCATCAAGTGATGAATAGATAAACTATGGTACATATACACAATAGAATACTATACAATGTTAAAGAATAATGATGAATCCATGAAACATCTCACAACATGGATGAATCTGGAGGACATTATATTGAGTGAAATAAGTTAACCACAGAAGGACAAATATTATATGCGACCACTATTATAAAAAGTCAAGAAAAGGTTAACATACAGAAAGAAACATTCACTGATGGTTACCAGGGATGGGAGGGGGAGGGGGGAAAATCACTAAATAGATCATAGACATTTATTAACTTGGATGAAGGGAAAGGCAATATACAATAAAGAGGAGGTTTGCACAACATACCCAAGGCAAAAGAAGACCCTAGGAGACATGCAAGAGTAAAAGACAACAACAGTAACTACTACTACATACACAGTCCTTCAATAACAGTAATAACAAACAATAACTTGCCAGTAGATACATAGGTAGATATGTGAGCTGAACAAGTGTGGGATGGCATATGGGAGTATACCCATAAGCATTTTTGGTTTGGCAGAGGATGTCCCTACCTACATATTTTTATGGGTTGCAAACATATCCAGGTGTATAGTGGAGTACACAAGGGGCAAAGCTATGCAAATTTCTTAGCTATAAGCAAACACTTGAGGTCTTGAGTCACTGGGCTTAAGGGCTTAGGACCATGGTCTTGTGGGACATCTAGGTCAATTGACATGTTGATGAAGACAATGTTCTACAATCCATGTTAGTGAGTAGAGATGGGGTCTTAAACACTTGTGAACAGCCATCTAAGAGACAACTACTGGTCTCTTCCTGTCTGAAGCAAACAAGAGTGAAGAAAATCAAAGACACAAGGAAACTATTAGCCCAAAGGACTAAAGGACTATGAAAACCAAAGCTTCTACACTGTGAGACCAGAACTAGATGGTGCCCAGCCAAGACTACCAACCACTCTGATCAGAATCACAACAGAAGATTCTGGACAAAGTGGGAGAAAAATGTAGAACAAAATTCAAAGTCATAAAAAAGACCAGATTTATTGGTCTCATAGAAAGTAGTAGAACCCCTGAGACTATGGCCCTTAGACACCCCTCAAACCTGGAACTAAACCCATTCCTGGAGATCACCTTTCAGCCAAACAATAGATAGGCCTTTTAAGCGAATAATAATACCCGTGAGGAATGTTCTTCTCAGGACAATCAACCATATGAGACGCAAAGGGCAGCATTTATCCAAAAACAAAGTTCAGAAAGCAGAAAGGGACCGGAAAGATGGGCAAACAGAAACAGGGAACCCAGGGAGGAAAGGGCAAGAGTGTTAATACATTTAGGGGATTGCAACTAATGTCATGAAACAAAATGTGTATAAATTGTTGAATGAGAAACTAATTTGCCCTGTAAACTTTCACCCAAACCACAATAAAGTGCTTAGAAGAAACAAAGAAAAACTGAATATCATCAATTTCATAGTTTTAGCTAATACCAGCATACTGTTTCACATTTTTAGCAGAGCAGACTGGACATGACATATTCTTTTTAGGATAGTCAAGTCCCGTGCCCCAATTCTCTCCAAACATGGGAAGGACAGGCAGAGGTATGGAGACTAGGCCCTAGCTACTAACCGAAGAGTAAGACTGTTCCTCTCTTAAACAAATCCTATATATGCTTGTGTTACTAAACCCACCACCTTATCCAAGTGATGAATGTAGCCATCAGGGAGACTACTGAAGATTTTACTACACATATTTGAGTGAAGTGAAGAGATAGGGAGGTTCTGGTAGCATAGCGCCTAAGGCATTAGACTGCTAACCAGAAGGTTGGCTGTTCAAACCCACCAGCCACTCCTCGGAAGTAAAGTTGGGCAATCTACTTCTGTAGTGATACCACCTCAGAAACCCAAGGAGGGGTCGCTATGAGTCAGATGTGCATTTGGTTTTTGGTTTTATGCCAGGAAATGGGTGGGGAAACTGGACATCTAAAGCAGCGTGAACAAGGACAGGAGGGGTGAGGAGAGGATGGGAGAGAAAATGAAGAGAAGGAGGGGCACGGACATGCAAGAAAGGCAGAGCCTCTCCCACGGGAGCTGCACGTGCAGTAAAGCGAGTGCAATCTGGCAGGCGGCGTGGGCATGTGTGTCTGAGAGAGATTTACACGGGAAAGGGCACCTGCTAAAATATTTATAAATTGATCAAGCAAACATGTTTTAAAAATGAAAAATAAACAGATGTACAAGTGCAACTCGAGAGAAATACATTATGTGGGTTTGCAAAAGCTGAGTGGCAAGGAGGAGACAGTGAAAGCAGGGAGTTAGTGTGCTTCTGGCTGGGCGGGGAGGGACCCTGCGAACTATGCAGGGTGACTGTGAGGACTGTGCCTGAGTCTGTGTGGGGTGGGGCTAGGGAAGATGACCCAATAAGCAAGGTAAGCACAGGCTTACTGGTGCTTCCTTACTAATCTGTAGTGAACAATCAAAAACATGTGAAACTGAAACTGTTCACCAAAGATACGTAAGTAAACACAAGTAAACCCATGCTTACACCTTGCTTACTGGGTATTTCACCTTTGTCAGAGATTGTAAATTTGAGGCTTTGATTCTGTAAGAAGGTGCTGTGGGGTTGGGAGAAAGACAGATGGCAGCCATTACCTAGAAGCAGAATCTTTGATGTGGTGAAAAAGTGTACAAATGTTCACTGTGGATCAGTAAGCAAGCACAAGTAAGCCCATGCTTACCTTGCTTATTGGGTAATCCAACAGTGGATGGGACCCTCTCTGGTGGAAGTGGAAGCTACCTTCGCCTGCCAGCACCATGCCTGCCACTCAGACCAGGAGTGTATGCACAGCACCCTGCTAGAGGGTGGTAGGGAAGAAACAAAACACATCCTGGATGGTCTCCTTTGGAAAAAAATCTTACCCATGTGGCTATGCACTCTGGACCTCTCTAACTGGAATTTGGCAATTTGCAATGTGAGGGGCAACCCCCCACCCCCTGTGCACTAGGAGAGAAATTGCAGATTCAATGCTGCCATATCACCTTGGCCAAGGTACCAACTCCTCCATGCACACTCATCTATAAAACATTCAGGGTTACCTTTTACGGGGAAAGCAATGGGGTACCACATGCAACAGTACTTCCCCTTTCTGCTGAAAATATGGATGATAAGAGTTATTCTATCATCTGAAGAGAAGCACCAGGCAGTAAGTTCCACTCGACATGTGTTATGACCCTGAAAACTCTCTCCTAAAGTGTGGCTCAGCCTTGACTTGTTCCCTACCTAAGCCCAGCAGGCTTTCAGAAGACTGACTCCCACCAGCAGCAATGTCTTACTTTCTTATGAAGTTTATGTTGACAACATTAAAGAAAAATTTGGAAGGAAAAAAAGAAATTCATAATCTCATCACCAGAATAATCACAATTTCTAGTAAATTTTAGGGCAGCAGACTTTTCCTGAGAGTCTACAATGGACACTGGAGGTTCAGAGATGATTAAGACTCTATCACTGTCCTTGAGGACACTATAGTCTAGCGATGGCGGTGGGGGGATGCAGATACATAAACAGATAATTCAAGACTAAGGAACCCTGGTGGCACCTTAGGTGCTCAGCTGCTAATTGAAAGGTTGGTGGTTCAACCCCATTAATTGCTCTGTGGGAAAAAAGACCTGGTGATCTGCTTTCGTAAAGATTATAGCTTTGGAAACCCTACAGGGCAGTTCTACTGTCTGATAGGGACACTAGGAGTTGGAATTAACCTGCCAGCAATGGGAAGGTGATAAGCACTAAACCAGAGGTCAAAACAGAGTTTCAAGGGCAGGTGCTGATCCAAATCTGGGGACTTAGGGAAGGTAGGCTTCCTGGAGAGGTGGTACTTGAGCTGACTCTCAAAGAAGATAGCTGAGAGAGACAAAGACAGAGAAAACAACAAAGGCACAATCACAGAGTATGAAACAGCTGGAGACTGGGCTGTCACTTCAGACAGTTTGATATATTAGGGGAGGGAAGAGGAAGGCGGCACTGGAGGGCTAGCTACAAACTGAATCATAGAGGGCATAGTATATCTTGCTAAGTGTTTTATTTTGTAGGTGATGGGAGCCACTGTAAGGTTCTGCTGGTATAGTGCTTAAGGCATTTGGCTGCTAAATGTTGGTGGTTCAAACTCAGCAGCCACTCCACAGAAGGAAGATGGGGCAATCTACTTCCGTAAAGATTTACCTCCTTGGAAATCCAATGAGGGTTGCCAGAGTCAGAATCGACTCAATGGCAGTGTTTTTTTTTTTTCTTTTTGGGGAGCCACTGTACACGGGCAGATTTCCCCTGCTTGGTTGGTGTTAATTTTTTTTTTTTTTTTTTTTTAAGATTAAAAAAAGACCTCGAGGTCCAGGACCATCTTGGTAACATGTAACATTCCCTTGTGCTTTTTAAACATCTCATCTTTGCTCTTAGGTCTTCCTTAGGATGGTGGCTTACCATGACACAAAGGACTGCTACATATAGTCTGAGGACCCAGGCTTAGATCATGACCATATTATGTGGCCTTCCTCTTCTTCACCCTGACACAGACATAGCATCTGAGATTATTTTTCAATATCTGACCAGCAGAAGGGTTGAGCTGAATGGAGGAAATGGTTACCTTCAACATTAGTATGGGGTTAGTGGCTGCCTGGATTTACTTCCTATAGCTTAAAGTTGCTTATTAAGGTAAGGAGACCCCAGCACAAAGGAGTTAGGGAACTGGCAGCTTGTTCCCTGACACAAAACATTCTCAGGCCTGAGGAAGAGGTGAAAGCCACTTTGAAGCAGAGTTGAACAATCAGGGACCCTGGGGCTGTGCAGTGCTCAGATCATCTGGCTGGGCTTCTGCCTGGCACTAACAAGGTGCTCAATCTCTGCCTTACACTCTTGTGCTGAGAGGAAGGAGAAAGTAGCGGGAAAAAACAGAGGAACTAGAATCAAACAATTAGGTTCATAGTCAAGCTCCAGCACATACTGAGGAGTTACCTAACACCTTCACTATAGTTTCCTCCTCTCTGGTGGCGTAGTGCCTAAGGCATTTGACTACTAACCAGAAGGCTGGCGGTTCAAATCCACCAGTCACTCCTTGGAAGGAAGGTTGGGCAATCTACTTCCGTAGTGATACCGCCTCAGAAACCCAAGGAGTGGTCGCTATGAGTCAGATCCGACTTGATGGCAGTGACTTTGGTTTTTTCGTTTACCTCGTAAGGTTGATGTGAGGATTAAATGTGGTAACCCACAAAAACAGTTCAGAAAATGCCTGGTCGATATATGGATGCAATCATGCATTGTTAGCTATTATAACATACAGAGTGGGAAAAAAAAAGACTACTTCTATATGTGTGGCTGACGAACAAAAAATACTGAAACACTATTACCATATTTTTATGCAAATAATGTATGCTATATGGTTTTTTCAAACCATGCAACCTCCTCGCACGTTAGTTTCCTATGTGCGCTATGTATGTTATATGTGTGTGCTTTACTTACGCAGACATGTTATATACAAGAAAAATATGGTACACACCTTCACATGCACACCACAGGTATAAAGCTATTATTGCCATCTAGAAAGTTGCTTAAAAATAAACCCAAACTTCCTTGAACGTGACCCTTCTGTCTACATCTACAGCCTTCACTACTGTAATTGTACCTTAGACCTTGTCACTTTATGTTGCTGGTTACAACTGGTCAACTCACCAATTTACGGATTTCACATTCTAAATTCTGGATACAGTCCAGTTTCCTCTTTCGGCAGCGTTGGGCCGCAATGCGGTTCTTGCTGCGCCGTCGGACATCATGAATGAACTCTAACTGTTCTGAGGTTAGCTTGTGCATCTTAATCATCATCTGGAAATCATTCCTTGGAAGATCTGTGATTTGATCTACAGGAAAGGGAAGTTTGACCTGAAACCAAGGATAACAGAATATGATTATGACAGCTGGATTATAGTTTTAATTCTAGCAGGTAGAATATTAAAAAATGCTAAAACCTCATTTTTACAGAAGATCAAGTAATATGGAAACCACTGAGGGCAAGCAATGATTATTTATTTCAAATATAAATAAGACATAATTTTTGGATAATGAAACAAAACGCAAATTCTCACACTGTAATGTGTTATCATTCTTTAGATTTTTGAAGCAAATGGCATGGAAAATGAGTAGATTTTCATCAGTGTAGCAATTTTGTAACAAGAGGGTGGTCTTGTATTTAGTTGAAACTTACTTCCACAAGACATATGACCTCAACTGAAAAAAATGACAAATCATAGATTTGAAGGGAGCACTGCACATCCTGAAGATGCAAGAAAGAGTAAGCAGCCAAGATGATTAATAGTTACAATAGCATAAGTGGGACATTTGGAGATCAACTTGAACTGACTACACTAGCATGGAGTAGCAGTCGGAGTAACTGGGACTTCAGGCAAGATGTTTTACCTTTCTGAGCCTCAATTTCCTTATTTGTAAAATGGGGCAAACTTTTTTGGCCCTCAGTTCTATGAAGTGCTAGAAATTACGGCAAATTATGTTTTCCAAAAATGGCCATCCCATCTCACGTGTTCTTTTACAACATGATATTGCCATTCCTCTATCAAGAGATAAGGTACATGTTACCACCTCTTGACTGATAGAATGTAGCGGTAGTGGTATGTAACTTCTGAGGCTTCCTGTTTGACCTCTCAGATTGTTCCCACTGGGGAAACCAGCTGATATGGTTTGAGGACACTCAAGCAGCCCTTTGGAGAGGCCCATGTGGAGAGGAATTGATGTCCCCAACCAACAACCAGCATCAACTTGCCAACCTTGTGAATGAGCTACTATGGAAGTAGATTCTCCAGCCCCAAACTTTCAGATGACTATAGCCCCAGTCAACATATGACTTCAACTTCATGAGCGATCCCAAGCCAGAACTGCCTAACAATAGTTAAATAAATTCCTGACCCACACATACCATGAGAGATGTTAATGATTGTTGTTTTAAGCTACTAAGTTTTGGGGTTATTTGTTATGTAGCAGTATATAACAAATGCAGGTACTATTTACTCTCTGGAAGATCCTTACTTTTAAACTCTTGACAAATCAATGCAAAGCTACATTATACAAAGAGAACATAATCTCTAATGAGATGGATCTGTGTCTTCTGTGTATTCTGTTAAGTGCTTTGTTACAACCCTGTATCATGTTAGAAATATGAAGAAAAGAATAGCAGGTGATGAAAATGAGCACATGTAACAGCCACTAGTCAGAATGTGAGAAGTGGAAGCCACTTCTGCCTTCTAGGGCCTTCTAAGCATCCATAAAGTATAGAACCCAGGCCTACATCTTTCAGTCGTTGGTCACTACCCTTTCCAAGGCTCTTGCTGATCATGCAGGGACTCCAGAGTTCAGTTCTGGTCTTGTTTCAGAAGCTCCTGGAAGAAGGAAGGTTTTATGCTTCTAGGCTAACAGACAAAAGTGCTTCCCAGGTCAGATTGCTTAATTCTTGCTTATTTTCGAGTCTGCTATAGATGGACCAGGAGATGGCACTATAATCTACAAACTTCCTTCAAGCTCTAGCACAGTGCTGTCCAATACTAGTACATGTGAGCCCCATATGTAATTGAAAATGTTTTGGTAGCCATATTTAAATAAGTACAAAGAAATTAATTTTAATAATAGATTTTATTTAACCCAATATATAACAAATAATTTCAACGTGTAATCAATATAAGGGAGCTCTGGTAGCATAGTGCCTAAGACACTTGACTGCTAACCAGAAGGCTAGCGGTTCAAACATATCAGCCACTCCTCAGAAGGAAGATGGGGCAATCTACTTCCGTAGTGATACTGCTTCGGAAACCCAAGGAGGGGTCGCTGTGAGTCAGATCCAACTCGATGGCAGTGAGTTTGGTTTTTGGTTATTTATTGTACTGAACTATCAAAATTCAAAGCACATTTTACATTCTTGGTGTAGCACAATTCAGACTGGTCACATTTCAAGTGCTCACCAGCTACATGTAGCTAGTGGCTACTGTATTAGCACAGCTCTAGAAGACTGAAAAAATGGACTTCAGTGAACCTGAGCAACCAGAGAGATGGAACACTTGGGTTTAGCAAATCATAATATTTCTGGGTGAAGAAAGCAAACCCTCTTTAGCATGCGTACGCTGCTCAGATTGCTGCAGTTTTAAATCTATGTTCTTCAAGGAAGTGATGATGAATATATTTTATCCTAAGCTAAGGCTTTTTCCTTGGTTGCATTAGATACTGGCAGACTTGAGTCCAGCTCCTTGCATTTGTGATTAGTTAATTCCCATGCACAAAGACAAACATACTAAATGCTCATTTGACTTTTCTGTGACAATTTCTTTGTCAGATCACTTCATCATTATGAGCTTGCTCAATGTGGCATTTGCTGAAGGTTCCCGATGGGTGAGCTGACACAACTTCCATATGTTGAACTCTGCCCCATGACACCTGTAAAACTTTGGCCCAAGAAAGCAAAACTGCAATACACATTACACCATTCTCACTTCAGTCTGACTCCAATTGCTAAAGACGGAAGCCAGGACAAACAGCTCCTTGTTATGGGCCCGGGAAAGGGCTTTGTCCACGGGCTGTGTTTGCACAGGGCTTATAATGATATGAAAGAATGTTTGATTTCCCTTTTATACCCTGTGGATAACAGATACTCAGATCCTGGACAGAGCCTAAATAACACAGAGGTCTGTCTGTTGGAGACACGAATGTTTCAACACCAGGCAAGAGCCTTGTTTGCACAGTAGAGGTTGCGGCACTTCTGGGGCTTGTGGAGTTTCCCCCTCTGTTGACAACAAAGCGATTCTGTTTCTGTTCTAAATTGTGTTTATTTATTTTCAGAAAGAAAATCTACCTATAGCTCAGGCCACAGGGGAAGTCAAAAGGGCTTCTCTACCAAAAGCTACTGTATTTAAAATCATCCAGACAGCGGATAGAAAACACTAGGGAAACAGGACAGAAGGTTGCCAGGAAAAAGGGAAAATCAGCAATGCTAGTTCCAAAGTCCTTGAAGCAAAAGGCCATAGAAAATTTCAGCAGAGCTGTTGCAACTCAAGCTAAAGCATTTTAAAAAAGGTCAAAGGGAAATAAAATAGCCAACTACAGACTTTCTTCCATGAGAAGAAAAAACCCCAAATATCTCGTTTCTTTTTAAAAGGTTCCGTTTCCCTTCTAGAAAGGGAGACCTTACATTGACTAACAAAAGGGGAGCCCCTAAAGCGTTTGTGGAAAGGCACAGTGATAACTATCACACCTTTTCATTACTTTCAGAGTAAGTTCCAAGCATATGGACATTTTCCCTGAAGATCAGGAGCAACCACTGACCTTTCAGTCTTCTCATGGAACTTGAAGAACATCCCACTCACTGGCTTGTGGGCATGCAAATGTCTCCCCACCACAATATAACCAATTGCTGTCAAGTAGATTCTGACTCAGGAGCTCTGGTAGCATAATGCCTAAAGGCACTTGACTGCTAACCAGAAGGCTGGTGGTTCAAATCCACCAGCCACTCCTCGGAAGGAAGATGGGGCAATCTACTTCCCAGTGTGGTTCCAGGGCTGAAAACCATCCTCTGGTCTTGTTTCTTCTGCCGTGCTCCAGAGGAAAGAGAAGAGTCAGCAGTTGGCTGGAGATGGGTCGAATCAACAGAAGCCTATGATGCAAGCTGTGGCACCAGCCCGCAGGGCCCAGCAGTAGTGGCACTGCCTTGGAAACCCAAGGAGGGGTCGCTATGAGTCAGGTCCTACTCGATGGCACATAACAACAACAACAGATTCTGACTCATGGCAGCCCCATGTGTGTCAGAGTGGAAAAGTACTCCAAACGGTTTTCAATGCTGATTTTTTTGGAAGCCGATCTCCAGGCTTTTCCTCTGAGGCACCTCTAAGTACACTTGAATCTCCTACCCTTCAGTTAGCAGCTGAGTGCAGTAACCATCTGCACTACTCAGGGACTCGAGGCTGCAAAGTCAGGTAAAGTGACCCGGCCTTGGAAAGTCAAAACCCACCCCTTTCTTCCTGTGAGTTTCTATAGCCCAAATAGTCCCAACAGGATTTAACATCTTACTTATCATTTCTACACACACTTACTCTTCCAGGATTTTACTTCTCAACAGTGGTTTGCTTTTCATCCACTGGACTCACATACATAGTGCAAAACACTCAACTTGATAAGATGACAAGTCCTGCCAATCATCAGTATCACCAGCTGGAAGGGCTTCCAGTTATATTCAGCCCACCAATGAGCAGCTCGTTAAGCAAGCTGCAAATACATGTGAGGGCACGTATGATTTGTGGGTGCCGACTTCTCTATTTGCCATGGTGCTGTTGGCCTGCCACTATGGTTCTCAGTACTCAAAGTCAAGGGCAACCACGAGTCAGTAGGCCAAGGGCCATACTGGGCCCTGCGGGCTGGTGCCACAGCTTGCATCATATGCTTCTGTTGATTTGACCCAGCTCCAGCCAAGTGCTGACTCTTCTCTTTCCTCTGGAGCACAGCAGGAGAAATAAGACCAGAGGATGGTTTTCAGCCCTGGAACCGCACTGCCCCGCTAAGGAGTTCTTAGGGGACAGTTAGACCTTCTAGGGACACTCCAGCTCTTTAAAGGTTGATGACATGGATGATCCCTGCAGTGTTCCGAGGGACTTCAGGCCCCACGGGCTGACAAAGGGTGGCAGGAAGCTGTGGCATCTGGACAGTGAATGAAACCTTAATATGTGTCCTTGTGTGGTGTGTCTGCACCGGTGAGACAGAGGGCTGGCTGAACAGGGGATGCCACAGGCTGGAACCCAGACGCCATCTCTCCATCCTCACCAAGCAGAAATCAGCTCTCCACTTCTCTCCTCTTTCCAAAGACAACTTCCAACTCTGCAGTCAAAACCATCTTC